GAGTCACTTTTCGCTAAAATTGATGGTTTTCCCTGCAAAGTGAAAAAACTGTTTTCCTCACGTATTTGTTTAAATAGAAAAGTTAGCTAATAAAAGTTTTTGACTCACGAGACGAGAGATGTTTTGTATTATGTTCCTTTAGACAATTTTACAATAATCTAGCGGATAGGACTTTTTTCGAGTTTCTCTTTTATTTTCGCTAATTTTCCTGGTGTATTTTCCAATTACGTAAGGATTTAGGTACAGATTTAGTTGTAATATATTTTGACATGTCGGACATTGATATGGTCCAAATGCGTATAGATATTCTAACTAAATCTCACTAATTAGACTGTGAGAGGCCTAATTACTCATGGACAGTGTTATATGGCAGGCCGTATTGATTGACAGTTTGTATTATTTCTACTTCTGTGTTACCTATTTTAATTAAATCATAATACAAACTGTCGATCAATAACAATGTTGTCGTGACATTACCTGTCACTGTCACAGCCTACCATATAACATTCTCCATGAGTAATTAGGCCTCTCAAGGCCTAATTAGTGAGATTTAGTTCAAATACGTTTTTTGAACCATATCAATGTTCGATATGTCAAAATATATTTCAACTAAATCTGTAAATCCTTACGTAATTGGAAAAAAGGCAGAAATGCCTGAAAGAGGTTTAACAATTACAAGATATCTTATTTTCTTAATAAAAAACCTTCTTTTCTTTTTTAATAGTATTTCGCTTATTGTTAGAGATGGACCCAACAAACCCTATATGACTATGCTCGACAGAGAACGTTCTATCCAAATATGTAACAATATACAGGGTGTTCCGTTTAAATTAACAAAGTTAACACCCGCGGCCATTTTGTTTGGACCTCATTTGTTTTTCAAATGTCATTTTCGAAAAATTCATAAAAAATCGTGGAACTTTTGTATTTTACATTTTTTTTATAACTTAAAATAAAAAAGTTAATGGGGGTGTCAAAATATAGTGAATCACCCTGTACATGTTAAGTCATAACAGAAGACCTAAGAAAGTTAGAAAAAAAAATAGAAACGATGTTCTAACAAATTACTCTTAACAAAACTTTTAAAAGTTAATAAAGTTTACAACAATAAACATATAAATGATGAGAGTCAAATAATCAACAGTTTCATGTTATTTTAAAAAATTCAAGACATTGGGTCTCGTTCAGAACACAACGCTAATACTGTGTAGAACTTTAAAATTTAATTGACCATTTAAAATACACTATTTTTGAAAATCACTCACAAAATATAACGGTATGGGCGCTTATCAATACTACTAATAATACATTATACAGAGTGTTTTGCGTAAGAACCGACACAGAGCAGAGGGCATGTAGGGGAACCCAAAATATCGTGATTTAATGCAACTTACCTTTATATTAAGCTGCACCCCTGAGAAGTTATAGGCCTTTAAAGTGGGATTTCAAATCTAGAGCGAATTCAGAAAATATCGGAAAATGACCTGGAAAAATAAAGAAATGGTTTTCCGGAAATATCTCGTTAACGTTGCAAAATCAAGAAAAGTTGTATTGGTAAAAGTTGTAGAGCGGAAAATTTCCTACGAAAAAGATCCCATACATTTTCATTTTAAAATGCATCCTTATCGAGATAAATCAATTGCAAAAGATAAACCCGAGAACGCGCGCGGGGCTTCGAAAAAACGATATTTTACGTCAACGTTCGACCAATTCGTTCATAACTCTTGATAGACAGCATGAATCTTAATGATTCAAAAAAAGCTTTAAAGGGGAAGTCTATGGCTTCAAAACCATGTACAATTCAATATAAAATTTTCATTCCATTCTTTTAACGTTCCCCAGGAAAGAGGTAACATATGTATTAGTAAAGAGATTTATATTTATTTATCTACTTGACAAAGTTTTAGCTTAAATTTATGAAATTTAAGGTTTTAAGTAGTAGCGAAACAGCACACTCAACGTTTTCAGGCAAATTGACTCTCTTGCGTCCCGTCTCTTCTTTCGTTGGGGACCACACATGTGAGAGCTTCAAGGACAAAGACAGTGGCATTACATAGCTCGTGAAAAATTTCAAACTGATTTATAAGAATAATTTTATATATTATTTTTTCTCGTCTCTATTGTCTCTCTATGATATTTAAAATTTAAGTTTTTTCTGGACTTCATTTATGTCAAACATAACATCATACAGGGTGTTTCAGTTAAAACTTCCCACCTGGAAAATATCGGAATTAAAAAATAAACATAAAAAATCTGAGACACGATAATTTTCTTTTCAAGGGGGACACATGATGGCGTAAGTTTTGGTGTCTTTAAAGCTACCCCTTAAGCAGGGGCGTAAAATACAATTAAACTTTAAATGGCACCCTATGTTGAGTGACACCTCATTTTAAAACTTTTTCAATTATTCTCATGCCGACATACAAATTTTTAAATTTTGATGTGGATATGCCAATAAAATCATCACTTAAAAAATAATCGATACCTATATCGATAATCGATAAATAAGGGAATTTTTTTTTGATTTTAAAATTACGGACTTTGTGTATTGAAAATATGAAAGAACGTCCTTCGTTTCATAAAAAAGTTACTCTTGTTCGTTTTTGATATGTTCCTTGGTTATCGAGATATTTGCATATACAAATTCCAGTGCATTTTGTTTTTAAGCAACTTTTAATCCTTAAATTAAACTAATGAACCAAATTATTTACAATTATCATCATGAATACAACGAGTGCTTGGTGTAAATCATAACATAACGTGAAAAATAATAATGAATTTCATCGACTTCGCCGTCGTCATGTCACATCACTATTGTTGCCGTCATTGTTATTGTTATTATCCTTATCATAACAAATAAAACAAAACAATTAAAAAATAAAGTAAATAGGTGATTGAACAGAATTTTTTTTGTAGAAACGCAAAGAAGACATATGAAGATGATACGTTTAGGACCAGAATCCAGTATCAGTACAAGTGTCGATAAATTCAAATTAAGTTCATTGGCACGAAACCACATTTTAAAGGAACATAGGTTAACCAGTTCACAGAAATACAAAGATGCTCTAAATAAGGGTATTGATATAGATCATTTTTTAAAAAATCACTTTGGACACAATTATTATTATGAAATGAAATGTGCTGAAGATATTTTACTTTTTGGTAGTAACATAATTTGTACTACTTTAAATAGTAGTGTTGGCCCCAGGATATTAGAAGGCAAAAGGAGGTAGGTACTTCACTAATACAGGCTGTCCCACCAGTAATCGCTACTATGAATATCTCGGAAAGTACTGATCTGATAAATCTGAAAATTTGGCAACCTAGCTAAAATATTTAGAAGTTTAAGGTACTTACGGTTACACCGGAAGCCGACATTACTTTCTTATTTTAAATGTAACACCCTATACAGGGTGTTCCACCACGAACTCCATCGATGGATATCTGGGAAACCGCTCGAAGGATTTTTTGAAATTGTGATGGTGTGATATGAACCGTGAGGCCTGCCAAGCTAAAATAATTTCAAGGTCATCGTACTTCCGGTTATACCAGAAGTCGATACTGACTTTCTTATTTTAAATGGAACCCCCTGTATATTATTGCATTTTTGTAAAGATCATATATTTTTAAGTTAAAACATATAGCACACTCCATACTTAGGATTGACTGTTTCCGAGATATTTTGATTTTTAAGCAAAAATTGACAGATGCAGACTGTCGGCAAAATTTAGTTTTCCCGGAAACATAAGTTTATTTTTTTGTGCAAATTGGACATGTTGTAGAGGAAGACCTGATTTATCGAATTTGACATGAATATTTTCCTGTTATCCTCATTAGTATAATTTAAACGATCCTTAGACATTTTTATTTAAATTTTTAGCAAAAACTATTACAAACAACAATAATTTGACAACTAACTTGACAAATGTCAAGTTATTAATTGTTTTTGGAGTCTTTCTGGTCATGGCCAATTTGACAACAGGTCTGATATAGTATACTCGACGGCCAAAATTATAGATAGTGATTCATCACTAGCTCTTGGACTAGTAAGGGAGATGAAGCGTGCCGGGAACGAAAATCCATTGGCGTGTCTGCGTATAGAAAATATTGAAAAAACATAATAAAACATAACATCTAATATTTTTTACGGTTTGCTATAACCGGCACTTTGATCCATTTTAATTATTACAGCATTTTAAAACGTCCCAGTTGTGTTTTTTAATTTATAAATTTATTATAGCCATGGAATTAGACCCCTCGTCTACGCTTATGCTATGACGTTTCTCAGGTCGGGCAAATCAAGTCCGTTTACACCCACTAAAAAAGCATTTCCCTATTCCCTACCAAGTGCAAAAGACAGAGATAAAATATAGATCGACGTTCAGTGTAACTCAGTCTATACACGATTATAGATTCTACCGATGTGCATGGCGAGCGGCACAAAGATAAATAATATTGAACCGTATAGAAATCATTTTATATTTTATACGCATTATGGTAATAGTGTTTTTATATTATGTATTAGTCACTCT